ACTTCCCCTCTACCGCTAAATTAGTAAAACAGTCAACTTGCTATGTAACATTCTTGAATGATGACTAAGAAAAGAGTTCATAATTTGAACACTTCAGTCTGTCTAAACTACGAAATCTCCTCATTTGCTAAGACAAAATTCTATTATACAATATTATAACTCCAAACTTTAATTAGCCCTGGAAAAAATGAAATTACCACAGCAAATATGGCAATCTGGTTAACATGGTAAACAACCTTTCTGCATATAATCAATTTAGGCTCAGGGCAGTACTGAATTAGAATTCATAAATGTTTTTGGCTAGTACTCTGTCTTATTTTTATAATAGTTATACATTCAAAAAATGTATGCATTTATAAAAACATCTTGTAGTCATAATTTAGGTTTGCAGATGATCCTACATGTGATTTGGCTTTAAAGAGAGATAAATATTCTGGTCTAAAAAGATAATCCACTAAAGCAGAAATCCATTAAAATGCTAAAATTATTCCATCCAAATTTCTTACATTAGCACATTACCTAGGAAAATTGTGTGTAAAAATAAAATATTATGCATCCATCATTTTAATAGCCTAACAGATAACATACTTCTGCCATAAAGTAAGTCTTGAATATGTTGGACTCAAGGTAGTGTGTGCAAATAGGCTTTCTTGTACAGAGGTATTTTCTTTAGTATTTTTCATTATTTCTTATTTCCCCACACAATTGATCCTCTGTTATGATCACTTTAAGTTATCTTAATATCTTTGTCGGCCAGGCTCAGTGGCTCAGCCTGTAATGTCAGCATTTTGGGAAGCCAAGGCGAGTGGATTGCCTGAGCCCGTGGGTTGGAGACCCACCCGGGCAACTTGGCAAGACCTCATCTCTACAATAGATCAAAAATTAGTCGAGCATGATAGTGCACGCCTGTAGTTCTGGCTACTTGGAGTAGCACTTCAGTCTGGGTGACAGAGTGAGACACCAACTCAAAAAAAAAAAGAAAAAATCTGTCTCACCTTTTTAATTTTTTTTATATAAGACTGTCTTCTTGTATTACGTATTTTATTCTATTCTCAGAATTGAATTGCCATATCGCATACCGAAGTGTTTATATTTTGAAATTCTATATAGCAAGAAAAGAACACTGCTAATATAAATAGCAAAGTTTTTCTTTTCTCTGAAATATAACAATAATAATCTATAAAGTCCATATAATGCTAAAATTTTGGCTCTTTTCTAGTCTTTTTTCCAAAAAGAAGAGAATGTATTATGAATATTGCGTGTCAGAGAGCTATATTTGTTGAGATGTCTTGCACATCATATTTCCTAGAGTTAAAAAAGTCACTACTATACTTAAAAATACAATCATTGCTAAAAAAGTTGGATAGACTCATTTAATGTTATGCTGAGATTAGGAACCCCCAGTAAACTGATTTTCTAAACAATAAATTATGTAAATTTTCCAACTTATTTTCCCTTTTTCAACTCTGCATTTTAAATACATAATAGTAAATCTCATGATCTTTTGATTTGTCTTCTAAAAATTATCTTATTACTGAGCTTATAACTAAGGAATAAATTTGATTTGTATCTACATTAGTTAATTAACCTTAACATTTTCCAGAATGGTTAAGCTAGTGTTAGACCTTGGAAGACCAAACAGTATCTTGTAATAATTATCACCACTAAACTAGCATTATTAAAGAACAATCATTAACAATACTTCAAATCCGTGGATACCACCTACAAAACCACAAATCAAATTAGCATATTCTTCATTTATTTTTTGCTAGTTGTTAACATTAGAATTTCCTGTTGAGAGTCAAGATAAGTTGGCATGAATTTAGTATTTGTCATTGATTATAAAAAGACATGTGCTAGCTGTTAATTGTCTATTTAATGAAATTTTGCTTTGTAATTTTAAATGTTTTGCTGAGAATATGTTTTATTAGAAATTACAAGCACCACTTATCACTTACAGTATTTTTTCTCAAATACATTTTAGTCTAGAAAAGGTCAAGTTGAAATAATCTAATTCATTTATGTAAAGATATAAATAACTAGGTACAGACATTCTTATAAATTTAAATGATTACTTCTACACTAAAATCAAGATCAGAGATTAGGAATTTGTCTTGCTCTTGGAGTCAAAAAATCAATAAAGTTTTACAGCCTCTTAGCCTCCAACCCTGATCAGATTGGACCCTATTTTTTTCTTAGTTAATGGCTCCTTAAAATTAGATAACCTTTAAATCCAGGCTTTTTTGGGAATCTCTTTATGGTACTCTGGAAAGAATAAAAAATTCTGGCTTTGTGCACAGCATTAAACAAACAAACAAAAAAAGATTAATCAAAGTATTTAATAAAGTTTAGTGGTGCCAATAGCCTTATTTACATAGTGTAGGTTTTCAAGAAAGTCACCTCTCAAAACTAAATTTATAATTGGATAAGATATAAATTCATTCTTAAAGATAAGTTTGGTGAAATATACATAGTCCAACTGCATTGCATAATGAAAATTGTCTTTTACTTGAATCTGACTACATAAACCTGACAATCACCAAATCACATTGGAGACAATCATCAAAGAAAAATTAATCCATTAAAAGAGCTATGATTTCTAAATTGCTTAATAGGTCAACAAAATTCCATATCTTTGTTAATGCATTTTTTCTAGGAACATTGTGCTTAAATCCTTGGTGCTTAACCTAAGGCTAAGTCCTAGTTACACAAACAGATGTATGCACTCAATAGACCTATTAAACTTCTACAAAGCTTCTCAGTATTAAGATTCTTTAAAGTCAACATAAAAATTCTTTAACATTAAAACTCTAAAAATAAGACAAATTTAGGACTGTCATTTCATTCCACTTACAAATAAATGCTCTGCCATTTCTAAAATTTCACATTTCAACTTAAAAATAAAATACAGTAAGAGTTTTATAGAACAAAGAAATGGTGACTGATCTAGAATACCCCTAAGAACATACATACAGAGATGACATTAACCAATTATCATCAATTCTTACCAATTTTCGCAAAAAATATCTAAATTTCTAAGGATTGAGTTTGGCAATACTTCTTCCTTACCAAGAGTATAATCAATTTAATTGCATAGGATGAATGTTTTAAATGGCGGAATAAATTATCCCATCAAATCAATGTCAATCTTTTTTTAAAAAATCCTTTTTCTTATTCTTCTACGTTGTGCCACCAAAAGAAAAATTAATTATTTATGATTTGGTAAAAGTTCTAAATAGATAGGGAAACCCTGTCTTTCAAATACACAAGTTCAGAGTCATTATTTTTAGGAGAAAGCAAGATGAAATTTTCAAAACATCCTTAGTCAAACAAAACACAGATTTAAGGTTTTTCGTGGCTACCCTTGTGAGTTCAATTACTAATATGAAATATAATTTTGATAACATGTTATACACTTTTTCATAGATTACAAGTGCTATCTATTACAAGAGGGCTTAATAATTGAAATTATTAGAAAAGAATTGCTAGCAAAGGAATAAAGTTTATGGTTGGTAAACTGGGCAAGATCAGTTCAATGCAAGACATTGAGAAAATTCTTTCTTGGGTATGAATTATATTAATTTGCTACTCTGTCACTAACTTTCTGTAAAATAAGTGCCCCAACAAGTATATCTCAATAAGCAGAACATTAATAACATAAGAACCCACATAAGAAGATATTAATCAAGACACTATCTGCTCTATACATATCAAAAGATGTATATTCTAATCTCTGCTTTGCTTGATTTCACTGTGATAGTGTTCTTATAACTGTTCATCTCGTCATCTCTATAACACAGCATCAAAGAGATGCAGCGACATTGAAAGTTTCTTCAGAAAAATCTGTTCTCACTGCCTACCCTCCACCTGCTTTTTGTTTGTTTTCGCTACACTTTCAGCAGGAGAAATTTCATCTTAGCACGTATTTGCCATTTGACATATCATATGCTATTATCACATGCATTAACTATTTTTAGAACTCTAGTTTATTTTTATTTCCTAAAATTTCTAAATTGCCAATGCTCTTATCAACATTTTAAAGTCCTTTGCTGCACTACAGATACTATAAATAGTTTTCTGCCTTCTCTCCTTCCTTCCAGTTTGAGCATTGTTCATCGAATCACATTTTCTGGTCAGCTTTTGGTAAGCTGAGTGCAAATCCCTCTCTTAGGCAAGGAAGGAGGAACAGTCATCAAAATTACAACTCTCAGTGAAAGAAACACTGCACAATGGAGCGCTTCATGTTACAACACAGACACAGTGTCATTGTAAAGTACGAACAGGAAGAGTAAATAGTTCCTCATTTCTTTTCTCTGCTTTCTAACAACAAGAAAGCTTGGATAGGATTTTATTTCTTTCCCCACCATTGTATCAGTAGGATAAAAAAGCTTTGCTTAATCATGCAAAGTAAAACCAGACTGGAACTAGGTAAGAGCTGTATGGCTTTTTCCATGTTGGCAAAAAACTGAAGAAGCAGGCTTGGTCATTAAGTCATAATGAAGCGTGGGCATTTTAACAGAAACATTAACTTATATTGTCACAAAACACAATGTCAGATTAAAGCCACAAAAATATTTTCAGCCAGTCCTGGTAGCCAGGAAATTCTTTTCCTAGGTGTTTCCTTTGTGGACCTTCTCAATTTATACCCAGCAATCACCTATTGTGATGTTTCAAATATTCCTTTTCTCTGTATATATCATGTGGTCCAAAATAGAATACAGATTTTTCACCCTGATAAATTTTATCACACCATTCATTTTATCACGGTCACAATATGTAAATGTACAAAAGCAAAAGTAGTATCTTGATATCAAATTAAGATCTCTGTGTATAGAGCATATTGATAAGTGGCATCCAAGCAAAGACTGACATTTTGAAAGTGGTCTTATATAATATTCCATTCCTCATATGCCATTTAGTTTAAAAAGAATGATGCACACACTCACGTTCATAAACACATGCACACGCACACAAACACGCATATATACACAAAAACTTACACAATTTCATCGTTCTGGAATTCCAGCTCTCCACAAGTATCCTCAAAGTCCTCCCCGCCACCTCTGGCAGTCCCTTCAATGGTTTTATAGGGAACGATAACATTTCCTCGAGCTCCAGATGTTCTCAATACTTTCACCTCCATGATGCCAATGCTCTCACTCACATGAGTCACAGGTTCCTCAAAAGTAAAGATGCCTGCATGGTCATCGTCAAAAATAGTTACAGTGGCAGTGGAGGGAGATCCGAGGCAAGCAAGTGTAGAAACATGATTGGCTTCCAGTATACCATCTTCTGAAGCTTCAGAAGATACTTTGACATTGCTGAGATGCACAAGAAAATTTTCATCCTCCTCAAAGATATCATCATCAATGATGCCAACTCTGATTTCCTTCTGGGTCTCACCTGGCTTAAAGACCACAGTTCCTTCAGTAAACTCATAATCAGATCCAGCATTGGCTGTGCCATCCTCTGTTCTGAAGTCAACAAACACAGTGTTGGTCAAATCACCACCTCTGCGGATAATGGTCAAGGCCACAGTACCACAGTTCTCCAGACACTGATATGTCCCTTGTTCAAAGAAGATCTTACTGACAGGGTCATTTTCAGCCACTTCAGTATTGACCTCATGCATGCTGACGGCCTTTCTTGCTTGGTCAGCTGCATGCCTCTTCAAAATGTTGCCAGCTCCGGTCATCAGGCGAGTAGCTTGAATGCGGTAAAATGCTCTACTTTTTTGCTGCTGACTTAGGACTTGATAGTTAGCTAATTCTATTAATTGCTCTATTTCTTTCTCTGGATGCTTCTGCTTAAGTTCCTTTAGAATCCTAGCCATTTCTCGCCTAGCCTCTTCATCATCTTGGTCTCTCTCATCCACCTCCAGAACCAGAGCACCATCTAAGAAATTGTCAACATGAGAATTGACCACTTTCCCATCCATTTCAATCTCAGTCTTGGAAGATGGCCTGTCTCCTTCATGTTCAATAATCATTCCCCTCTGCTTGCCAGCCCGGTACCTTTTATAGACGTACTTGTAAAATAGAAGCCTCCTATCTGCTACCCAAGCGAACACCACACAGATGGGAAAGAAGAAGAAAGTAAGCAAACCTTCCCAGACCTCCACAACACCAGGAGAGATTACAGACAAAATAATGTAAAGCCAAGTGTAGGCAAAGATGCTCCAGGCTGCCGTCACAAAAAACACACGTAGATGCTTAATCTTCCTTGTCTCTCCATCAGGGACCACGTAAACACAGAGCGCAATAATGATGAACATATTGAATGCAGCACTTCCCACAATGGTGCTAGGACCAAGGTCTCCTGCAGTGAAGTTATGGCCACACACTTCAATTACTGAAAGGAGAATCTCAGGAGCAGAAGATCCCAGGGCCATCAAGGTCAGGTTAGAAACTGTCTCATTCCAGATCCTCACAGTTGTCTTGGTGGTCTCTCCATTGGGTTTCTTGATGGTTATTTCTTTTTCTTGAGATGTGATGACTTCTATTGAGGACATGAACCGATCTGCTATGATAGAGACTCCAAGAAACATGTAGACCATGGCCACAAAATACACAGTAGCTCTAGCAATTTTGTCCCCAAAAGAAGGGTCTTGGGGCTCCCAAATGGGTAAAATCACCCCTTTCTTACAGTAATATGAGCCAGTACATTCACCGGTTTCATTTCCTTCTCCTTCCATTTCCATCTCAGCACTTATAAGGTCCACATGGGAAAATAAGAGAGCCACGATAACTAACAGATGAAATCCCATTGAAAAGGTGGTTGAGAGGCTTAATTGCAGCATGTTGTACATGAGATTTCCAGCTGCCACAACCTACTGGTAAAAATAAGATGGAAGAGAGGGTGGGAAAAAAATCACATCATTAGTGCTGCATCCAAGGCATGACTAAGTACCAATTTTTATTGCACTTACCCACAATCTCTTTATATTTGACCAGTACAAAATCTATGGTGAATGGTTATTCCAAGACTCCATCAGCGATGAAGCAATATTTCGTAAAGTCTACAACTCAATCTCTTTGTGAATTTTCTACATGTCATTCCCATTCACTGAACAAGATACACAATTGACTTATTGGAAATGGAAAGTTCAATTATAGCTCTGCCTTATTAAATACACATTTATGCTTGCTAATAGCCAAGAAAAAAACAAGACTTTTGAAACATTAAATCTCCTCCTCATTGCTAAAGCAGATTTTCTTTTAAATTTTAGTTAGTACATCATCTTCCAGAAACGGTTTTATTGCCAAACGCGTCTTATTAAGATTGATGCTTTGATATACAGACTCTGAACATCCCACCAACACAAGGCCTGGTGACTGTCTTAAATTCTGGAGTACTGGGAGTGTAAACTAGTACAACCTCTGTGGAAAACAGTGTGGTGATTCCTAAAAGATATAGAATCGACATTCTATAGAACCCAACAATCTCCCTTCTGGGAATATACCTGGAGGAGCTAAAATCACTCTATGAAAAAGATACCTGCATACGCATGTTTATTGCAGCATTATTCACAATGCAAAAACAGAACCAACCGTGTTGCCCATCAAAACTAGACTGAATTAAAAATGTGGTACATATACATGATGGAATACTATGCAGCCATAAAGAAGAACAAAATTATGAACTTCACAGCAACTTGGATAAATTCAGTCTATAATACTCAGTGATCTACTACAGAAACAAAGAACTGAGTACCACATGTTCTCACTTATAAGTGGGTCTGAACAATTATTTTAATACTACAAGAAAGGGATTGGTAGTAGTGGGAAACAGCCAGGGGAGGGAGGGGGACACACTTCATCAATAAGTGTACCTGATCTGAACCCAGGTGAAGTGGGGACCAAAGTGAAGCCCAAACTTTACCTGTATAATGACCATTTGTATACTCAATGCTGAATTGTACACCACATCTTTAAAATTAAAATAAAATAAAAATTCTGAGTACATCTTACACTGTATTTCATGAAATCATGTCCTATTGCTCTGCTCTTACTTGGAAACGCAGAGAAAACTTCAAGCTTGCCTGAAATCAAAGCTCATTAGTGTTCGCTCTTGCAGGGGAGGGGAATGGGGAGATTTCTGCTTCCAGTATGTGATGCAATATTTCCACACATTAAGTGCAATTTTTTAAGGCCTGTTTTGATGAGAGCACATTTCCTCCTAACTTTCAGCAAGCCCAGGTCTGCTGATACATTAGAAGCTGGGCATCTGGTTCTTCCAGCACAGCTTTTCACATCCGTGTACAGACCCTGCTTTTCCGCAGGCTGTTCACACGGGAAAGGGAGATAACCAGGCCAAGGCCTAGTTGTAGGGAAGAGGCTGACAGGCTGTGAAATCAGCGTAACCAGCCTTAAATTGCCCCTTTTCAGCATCGATGTCATATTTTCCGTGGTCACTTTAAAACACATATTAGTTCTTAGAGGGTTCAAGTGACTAAAAAACGCAGGACCAATAATTCCATGTAGATTAGCTCAGTGGCATAGCAACAGTAACCACAAAGTGCACATATGAGGAAGGGTTGTAGGCAATTAGGGTCAAGGCAACAGAGTCACTGAGCTGCACAAAGCTTGGTAAGCAAAGCAGTGGATTCGGACACCATGGCCCTAAATTCCCCTACTAGCTCAAACAAAATTCAACTCAGACCTTACATCCCCTCTGCCTCCAGAACTTGAGGGAGGTAAGGGGAAACTGAAGTAGAGGAAGTTCTACTGTGGTCAGAGAAACATATTCGAAAGGTCTTGTAGGAGAAACCAATTATGACATCAGATAAAGCAGCGACAGAAAGAGGTCCTGAGTCAGAACACAGCTTTGTGGCCTGGAAAACAGTTAAAAGACAAGCTGGGGATGAGAGGCTACCATAACTTCAGACTGGCTGAGAGCCATCAACATTCGCCTGCGCTCTCTGGCTCACGTTTGCTGCTTAATGACTTCTACTGAAAACTGTACCAGGGCCCAGGAAAACCATCCCCTTTCCGCTCCCGTCTAGAATATTTTGGCAGACCCTCAGAGATCTCACCATAGCCTAGAGTCCTTTTTCGCTCATTGCTACTGGGAGATAAGTATCTTTGACAATATTCCTATACGAAAGAAGGGCAGCAGAGAGGTATAGGGGTAGAATTCCAATCTAAGTAAAAGCCTGAAAAAATAGCAGCAGCACATTTTCAAAATATGCAAAAGTTCATAGTCAGTATGTCTACTTGTTTAGTCATTGCAGGGCTTTGGTGGGTTGTGGGATTTCCTTTTAAAATGGGGTGAGATTCAATCAGCTTGCAAGAACAGTAGCAGAACTAGTTCCAACTTCTTTATATATCCATTTATTCCGCAGATATTTATGCATACTTAAAATGTATTTTAGAATAACTAACTAGGCTCTCTTCTGGGTCTTGAGAATTCACTAATGAATAAAACAAAGTGTCCTCACTGAGCTTATATTCTAATGGGGAGGAAACAAATACATATATACGTCAGGTGGTAAAAAGCGTTAAGGGGTGTGTGTGTGTCTATGTGTGCAATCTAAGGAGAAAGGGACTGTGTGTGTGTGTGTCTGCAGGTATGTCAGTGTGTGCACATATGGCACACATGATTTTTACATCGGATGGCTAAGGAAGGTCTGATAAGGTAGCATTTGAACAACGTTCTGAAGAAAACAAGGGATCAAGTCTTATGGATATCTGCAGGAAGATAAATCCAAGAAAGTGAAAAGGTCCTGATGGGAATTTTACTTAGCATAGTCCAGAACCACAAGGAAACCAAGGTAGGGAGGGAGCAATGCTCCAGGAGGTGGGGCTCAGGAGTGGGGAGGAATCATGGCGGTACTGAGTCACTATAAGGCTTTGACTTTGAGGGAGTAGGAGATGGGAATTGTGGGGAGCTTCTAATCAGGGTGATATCTGACTTTCCTTTGAGTAGGATCTCTCTGTAGGTTCAGTAAAAAACAGACTTTAGGGAAAGGATGGAAACAGGGAAACCAGTTTCTGCCTACTACAAAATCTGATGTATACGTGATCCCAGTGCCTGGGAGATGTACGAGCAGTAGAGATCTGACATTTAAAGAAGAAAAAGAAACATTTTGTTTTCCTTTTGGAAGACTTGCAGCTTAAACTGTCTTGGGGACCTATAAGAATAGGAAAGGTTAAATATTTGTAATAAATAGTAGTTCTGAATAGAGAGAGCGAACACTGAAGAGAGATTCAAACCTGTGTTTGTCTCCAAGACATACAATTAACCACTCCCTTCAAATGACTGCCAAATCTCATTATTCCATTTGCATTTCAGCCAAAATGAAATTCCTAAAGTGCAGATCTGACACTCTCACTTTCCTTAAAACTTTTCATTGGTTGCCTATTGTCATGGTGACAAAGCCCAAATCCCTTAGCAGGCTGTTCAATACCTTTTGTGATTTGGCCTCTGAGATCTAGAATATGAAAATTCTTTCTATTTCTTGAACGGACAAGTCAAAAATACTTTCTTGCCTCTCGGACTTTACTGATTGTATTTTCAATAACCAAAATGACTTTGCTTTTTCCTTCTTAAAAGCAAGTTTCAAAACGGTCCAACAGCAAATTCTAGCCAATTGCCTAAGAGAATAATAACACTAGATTCCATTCTTTTTTTTTTTTGAGTTGGAATCTCACTCTGTCGCCCAGACTGGAGTGCAGTGGCCGCTCCTGGCCATCGCAGCCTCGACCTGCTGGGCTCCGGTGATCCTTCCGCCTCAGCCTCCCAAGTAGCTGGAACTACAGGCGCATGCTACCTTGCCCGGCTGATTTTTTGATTTATTGTAGAGATGAGGTCTCGCCAAGTTGCGCAGGCGGGTCTCGACCCGCGGGCTCAGGCAGTCCACTCACCTCAGCCTCCCAACGCGCGGGATTAGATTTCATTCTTAACTATCATCAAAGACACCATACTAAATTCTCTGCATGTATCAATTATATCTAATATTTATAATAGTCAGCATTGCTGTATTACACAATTCCGAGTGTTGCTATTTCCATTACAGTCCTTGGAGTTGTGCAATGCACAGTGCCATAATATTCACTGTAATAGGTATTATTAGTCCATTTTGGAGATGGGATTATTGAGGCTGAGACAGTTAAGTACCTGTTGAAAGTCCTACAGACAGTAAACTCCTGAACTAAGATTCAAACCCTGGACCTTTTCCAAGACTGATATAATTAAACGCTCCATTTTATTTTCCCTGACAGTGTGTGAAGTAATCTTTGAGAACTATTGGACTTGGCTTGGACTAGCCCACTAGAAAGCCTTTTGGCTTCCATGCCAGGTTAGGAGAACTTAGTTAGCAAAAGTCTTATGGAAGGCTTCCAATAGCCTGGCTTTTATCTTATGGATTAAAGACTCAAACAGACAAGCATCAATGACCATGGTGTAACATGAGGGCTGGCATGTTCCTGGAGACAGCTGCCCTTTACTCTCTGGTCTTTTAGCAATTTCCTGGCAACCTCTGCCTGCATGCACTGTCAGGGCAATCTCTTACGTCAGCCAAGAAAAAGCCCTGCCCTTTACCTTGCCCTAGCCTACATTCACAGTATGTACTAGCCAAAAGAGTACCAGATGTCTGAAGGTGAATGGATCAGTAAAAATCTATCATCATTCTCAGAGAGAAACCAGGGGACCTTCGACATTGACTAAAAACATCTCAGTTATATTCAAAAGCTGACAGCATTATAATTTGTGAAATCAGTGGACATGAAAGACTGACATAGCTTAGAGGCAATGAAGCAACTGGAAAGAACTTTCTGGACTTCGGTTTCTTTTTTTTTATTAGATGAATACCAAATCCAAATGCTCACAAAG